GGGGGGGGGGGGGGGGTATGGGAGTGTGTGTCTGTGTGTGGTGGTGGAGAATGAATGTGAACACCAGTGCTGTTTTGCTTTGAGATCATATAGAGAAATCACCTTCAGGACAAAGTAGTATCATTGTCTGTTTTTAACTAACATAAAGCAACAAGTAACCATTAGATAACTCTAAGTAATTATTTCATTTATATAAACCTGGAAGGTTTTTCTGTAGCATTTTTGTTGATAAGCTTTGGGGTTCCTTGTTTTCCTCTGTTGGCAGGGCTTGTTTTTTCCCCTTAGCTGTTAAAGTATCAGCTTGCTATGGTATGCTTTAAAAAGCGGGGGGAAAAAACCTTCATAAATGGATTTTAGCCACTCATACACAGGATGTATAGGGCACTTCACTATTACTTTGAGTCTTCTGAAGAGAGAGAGTGCATTTTCCATAGAACCACCTTTTTCCTCAGCTGGCTCTTATGTGAAAGACAGGCTGAGCTTGCAGTTCTGCACTGCTCCACGAGGGATGTTAACTCAAACTGGAATGATCCAGGCTGCCAGTCATAGCCAGGCTTACCTAGGTAATGGTTATGAGCAACTGCCTTCACCAGTATGGATGAAGTACCTATCCTTTGATTCACTGGTTTGGCTTTAATGACGAATAGATTGCTGTATGGAAAGTGAAACATCTCAATCTTCAGTACAAAATCGGTATTACTTTAATTGCAGTGAATGATAGGCTAATTATGTGAGATTTACTGTTTAATAGTCGTTTGAAGTTACTCCTTTAAAGAACGGTTGTAATCAAGTGATTCTGAGATGAGTGCAGTGTAGTTTGCTTTTCCTTTATTTTCTGATCTGAAAGTTTTGCTTCCTGCTGTGACTCACTGCACTGTGCTGACATCAACCTATGTCTTTTGAGTAAAATAAACTTTTCTTGGGCTTCAGCAGTGCTTAGAGAATACTGCAGCGTTAGGGGACAGAGCAGGATTAATAGTACATTATATGAGGAGGTGTCTGATCTTAACAAAACGTGGTCAGTTGTTACTTGGTGCATTTAGATACGTATCTAAGAAATTCTAGGCTGAAAAAAAATAAAGTTGGTTGCCAGAGCTTGCACATGTAAATCTTTGGCTTATCTTTGAGGTGAGGTGGCTGGATAGAGTAGGCATACCTCACTGAGGGAGTCTGTACCCCTCCTCACAACCAAGCAAAACACCTTGCTTCGTGTTTCTAAAGGGATTTAATGTTGCACGTTTCATTATAGCTTGTAACAATAGTAAGTCCTTTGACTTTTTTCTCTTTCATGTATTAGAAACAAGACTGCCAATGGAGATTATCGGAAGGAGCACAGAGAGAGGAGTCGCAGCCCAATAGAGAGGGCTGCAGCCCCAACCATGAGCCTTCACGCCAATCACATGTATGCCTCAATCCCAAGCTTGACCATGGATCAACCTCTAGCACTGACCAAAAACAGCATGGATGCAACGCGAACAGTTGGCATCACACCTACACTGACTTCTGTGGAACGGCAGCAGGTACTGGCTTCTGGGTTGACAAGAAACTCTGGGTGGTGGTAGGAATCCGTGCTGTAGAGACACAGTGAGGACTTCCCAGATGTAAGCAGAACGTATTGTGCGTTACAATAGGTAGGCGATACTATTCTTCAGGCAAAATGTGTTTCAAAAACGCACAGTGAATGTCACAGCTCATTGTGTTTAATGTGAATGAATTGCCGGTGTTTAAATGTCTCTGTCACAGATCTCTCAGCCTTCCTGCTCTTTCTGGTGCTTTACTGAGCTTGTGAATGTGTGTGTTGTAATTGGGAATGCAACGTCTGGGTTGCTCTGTGCTCTGCAAGGCTCCAGTACCCGTAGGCAGTTACTGATGTAGTTCACAGGTAAAGAGGGGGGAAGAGGTATAAGATAGAAAGAGCATAAAGGAGAATTTTGCACTGAATTTTCCAGGCGAAAGAAGCTGGAATGACCTTGTTTTAGCCAGACAAAAGCATTCATTGCGGTGTTCAGAGCAATGTTGTCTTACTGTTTCATAGTGACTTTTCCTAAAGTGAAGTAATGATGTTTTATCATTTTATAGTTTATTTCCATATGCTGGAGTGGCTCTTGGTGTTTGGTTTGGGCTGGTTGGTTGGTTTTTGGCTTGCCATCTTGTACATTTTTTTTTTCCTTCAGAACTGCTGAAGATGAGCCATCTCTATGCAGTTTATACAATAACTGTTTTCTTGTATGCCAGGCTCGCTTTTCTCCCTCCCACAAGTGGAGAGACAAAGCAAGATAATTGAGTTGTGATGAGCTGCAGTGTTGAGAAATTAAACTGGCCCATGTACCCCGGCTTGTCTGTCCTTCCTTCCTTCCTTCCTCCCCTACTGTGATGCCCTACAAAGGGTAAACACTTTAAGTGGATGATCTTTCAGAGGTTGGGATTTTTCATATGCAGTTTATGAAAGCTGCTTTTCACTGGAGCCATCTGCTGTTCCTTCCTTCCTTCCTCCCCTACTGTGATGCCCTACAAAGGGTAAACACTTTTAAGTGGATGATCTTTCAGAGGTTGGGATTTTTCATATGCAGTTTATGAAAGCTGCTTTTCACTGGAGCCATATACTTTACATCTGCTGCGTGGATTTTCAGGGTGGTTGGCTACGAACGTTAGTCTTTTACCTTTCTCTGTGCCAAAAGGCCTAGCTTTGCACTAGTTGCTGATATCTTGCATCATTTGGCACGCAGATTGCAGAGGTATTGTTCTGTGCAGAACGGCTCCTCTTTGCTGTCGGCGTTGGGCGATGACAGAGGAGGAAGGGACAGGCTTCCACTGACGACACTGGTGCCCTTTGATAGCGTTACCGCTGCGGCCCAGCGCAGCAGCGAGCACCACTCGCACTCAGCTATTTTGGTGTGTTTGACTTGGGCTGATTCCTGTTGCCCATTACCAGATTCCTTTCTCTTTTGTTATCTCTGACGTTTTGAGATAGATTACAATCTGTTTTCTTGGGAAAATAGGATGTTGAGGTAAGACCTTGCTAAGAGCGCAGAGTAGGAATCATACAAAGGAAAAAGCATACTGAAAATAAGAAACCATAATTTGATGATTTGTTGTTTTGGTTTTCTTTTTTTTTTTAACTTTAACATGTTGAACGGGATTTCATCTTACTCTGTTTCTAATAAAGAGGTGGGAAAAAATAGCTTGTTATTTTGGCAGCACAGGGTTATTCAGCTGCTCTACTTGCTGTTACTAAATTCTCAGCTTATCTCAGGATTTTCATACAAGTATGTATAGTCTGCTCAGTGCACCTGTACATACAGAACTGCACCAGGGCATTCTGTGAGATGCCTGATCCTGCCTCTCGCATCCTCTGTGGTGTTGGTACATACATTCTTGAGACAAGCTTTTTTTTTACCTCTCTCTACGTCCCACCTTCTGCACGTCTAAAATACTCTTCTGAAGAGATAAGCGTATATACACCCCTTAAAAACCGCTTCAGAGATGGGCAAAATCTTGGCCCCTTCAAAAAAGAAAATAAATACTTCCACATGTGGATTGCTTACAGAAAAATCAAATAATTCACTTACTCTACTGTTTTTACTGCACTGACAGCAAAGTAAAAAAATAAGATATAAATAGCATGGTTCCCATTGTCTCTGGACAAATAGTGTTAAACCTTCCCATGAAAGCTCATCTCTTATTTCTGTCTTGTTCTAACTCTGTCTGGACTAACGTACCACTAAACAATGAAAACTGTTTCCTTCCTCATTGACTTTGTATATAGGTAAAGTACTGATTTCTTGTGGCTTTGCTGCACAGATTTGTAAAGCGGACAGGAAATTAAAACTCTGAAAATTATCTCAATTCTGTTAATCTTTTGGACGCTTGACCATTAACTTGCAATGAGTATCGCAAAATATTGCTTGCATGGTAAAACATGAGGCAAAGCAAAAATACTCCAATACCTGTGTTACTTCCCTCAGCCACCTGCAGAAACTGGGACATTTCTTTTCCTAAGGCCTTGTTTCAGTGTAACAGTTACACAGTGAACAATTTAAACAACAGTGTTTTATGTTTGTACAAAGTATACAGTGTGAAATAAGGTTATGTGAATTTTGGGCAATTTGCTTGTGTTGAGAATGAAAAGGGATGGTGTTTATCACGTAGTGCTAGAAAGGCAGATTAATTACAGCAGGAAAGTACTTGCGGTCAGGGCTGGCTCAGGAGCTCTTCAGATTTTACATCTTATGGGCTTATTGTTTTGTGGCTGCAGTAGGGAACACAAAATTAGTCAGGCTAGAAAAGCTCAGCTTCCGAATGAAAAATGATGCCATTAAAACTTGGTTAACACTAAGAAGACAAATACCTGTAAAATTTGTAAAGCCCTTGTGAGTCCTGGAATCAGACGGGTGTACGGACATAGAATGAAACAAGTATTTAACGTGTTGACATTTAGTTCTGCATATGTAATGCCTGTGAAGTGGAAATGGTCTCTGTAAAATCACTTTAATGCTTTTAATGATTTGCTTTTACACTGGCCTTTTTTTTTCTGTATGGCTGCTTGCCACTTCAGTAACTAGGAACCATTATGAAAATGCAATGTGGGGTTTTTTTAATCAGACAGAGAAATAATAGCTGCATATTTGGGGGTTTAATACGCTTTATTGAATTGGACGGTTTATGGGTTATTTCACTGCTGGGATTCAGCTCAGTGTGTGTGTGTACATCTCAAGTGATTATGCAATGAACTGCTGCTAATATGGCTTTGGCTAATTGCCTTAGTGAGTGACAGTTTTCTTTTTTTCTTCTGTATTAGAACCGTCCATCCGTAATCACGTGTGCGTCTGCGAACAACCGGAACTGTAACCTCTCTCACTGTCCCATCGCGCACAGTGGCTGCGGGGCAGCAGTGCCTGCCTACAGAAGACCCTCCAGCAGTAAGTTACATCTCCGTGCTCTTAACTGCCTGATTTTTGAGGAGAACAAAACCATCTCACTAACCTGAACGGTGTAGGCACTGATCCATTAACAGGAATAAAAAGGAGGTGAAACAATGGACACCTCTGTATCCTGTCTGCCCAGGGCCAGGCTGGCGCAGATCCCCCTGCACTCTTTGTAACCATCAAGCCCCAGGAAAGTACCAATTCAAAGTTGGGGGGAGAGAGAGCTGTTCTTTTTTCTTGTTTTTTTTAAAGAAGGTTTTCAAAACAAACACCCCACACAGACAAATAAGTCATTATGTTTATTTTAGTCTAACTGAGGAACAGCAGACAGGGCCAGCGGATCCAACCATGCTCTTATTTTAGGAGCTGCAGTTTCCCCACTCTTTCAGCAGTCACTAGGCTTCTCTGATTCAGCTGCAGTCACAAAAATCTTTTCCTGCAGATACAAATACTCTTCCAAAGCACATCCCCTCCACCTTTCTCTGCAGGGATAACACAAAAAGCTTTGGAGGGCAGTTGCTATAGCAACCCAGGCAGGGAGCTTTAGCTTTCTACCTTCGGTGCAATTAGTACTTTTCATGAAATCTTTTCATGCAGTACTTGCTGGGGAACCTTGGGATGTTTCTCTGCACTTCCTCTCGCTGTGTGACCAGGGGAAAACACAGCCCTTTCATCTCGTGTCCCATACCTGCTGCTGCAGAGATTTAACACACAGCATTTCCAAAAGTCCCTGGCAGTGAGGCCTCATCAACCGGAACGTGTCAGGGTGACAATACCAGTGTGACGTACGTAGGAACCTAAAAGTACATCCTAAGATGATGATTATACATTTTCTTTTAAAAAGAGCAATGTAGTGTTGAAAACTGGAATGAGAAGCTGAAGTGCAACCCTGGAGGATTTATTACACTTTTAGAGAAGTCAGTGATTAGAGATCTAAGGTGTTGGAAGCTTTCTGGAAAACTGCTGTGAAGGTTCTCAGCAAATAGTTGTCTCTTGTCACTTGGAGAGGTCTCTGTGCGTGACACATTTATTTTAGCACCAATCAAGCCTTTCTGTAGCATAAAGGATCCCGACAGTGTTAAGTATTTTTGAAATAGAAATCTCACTTGGACACAAAGATACTGTTTCTAAATTGTAAAACTGCAACTTTCTCATATGTAGTTTGAGGAATTATCACTGTTATCATTCCAAATCTGTATTTTAAGGTTCCTTGTTCCTCTTGTAATAGTATTACACCACTTTAATGCTGGTAGTCCCTACTGCAGAGGTAATGATTCATTTATTTTTCTGACTGGCTCCCAGCACGAGTCTGTCAGGTAAAAGGAAACCCTGAAACCAGCTTCAGAAGGGGGTCTCCTCACACCTGACTGCTACCGGCAGGCTCGGGAGCTGATTGTAAAGAACTGTCTCCATCTTTAATTCTATTAAAATCTAAATACAAGTTCTATGTACTTGTTTTGGGAGAGGGTTTCCATAGAATCAGAGGTGTAGCTGTTACTAGCCTGAGGGAGAACTATAATTATATATAAAACACTTACCTGGTGCAGGTCACAGAAACGCAAACACGTTTAACGCCAGTCATTACTTCTTTTTTCATTTTAACTCCTTCCATCTTCTTCCCCACCCCACGCACTCCCAGTTGTATAAGGATGTAGAGAAGTCTTGCTTTATGCCGAGCTGATTGATAGGAGAACGGGAGAAGGTCTGGGTTCTGCACCCAGTAGCTGGTGCCAGGATCCTGCGCTGAAGTAACGCCCTCTCTTCTGCCTCCTTCCCCTTCCAGCCACCACTGCCTGCGACCCGGTGGTGGAGGAGCACTTCCGCCGGAGCCTTGGCAAGAACTACAAGGAGCCTGAGCCAGTGGCAAACTCTGTGTCCATCACGGGGTCAGTCGACGACCACTTTGCCAAAGCACTCGGGGATACATGGCTTCAGATCAAAGCTGCGAAGGACGGAGTCTCCAGCAGTCCCGAGTCTGCCTCGCGGCGGGGCCAGTCTTCCCCTTCCTCTCACATGGTCAATCATAATCACTCGCCCTCCGTGGTCTCATGAAGAGAGGACCCAGACGTTTGTGAATTTGCATGGTTTGACTGAGCTTTGAACAGTGCTTAAAATAGTGTTGGGGGAGGGGAGATTAGTTTTCAACACATGTTTTTGTGTACTCACTTTTTATTTGTAAAAGGGTGCCCTTAAAGATGATAGCAGGAACTATTTCATAAAGATTCATACGATGTAGCATCCTTTTTTTTTTTTTTTTTTCCTGCCTCAATTACCAAAGAAACCTCTGATGCAAATCTGCTGCCCCTTAAAAAAAATAATGCACGCTAATCCACAAAAGCCATTACACTTAGTTGGTTGACCCAAGTGCTTTTTTGCTTTTATTAGCTTCTCGAGACTAGAATTTGTCTGGTTTGCTTACATTGCGCTTTTTTTTTTTTTTTTAATTTTTATTTCCCTCTGTGAAGTAATTTTGTATGTATATACTTGAAAAGAACTGTCATGTATGATTTGCACTATTGGAGGAGGACTGAAGTTGCATAGCAACTTTCTGGAAGATGTTAACATTTTGAGGGCAAACTGCTGAAAAAAGGGTTTAAGGATGACATTTCTATCAGTTTGATTTTTTTTTATTTTTTTTTTTTCTTAAAGCAAAACAGCTTTGGAAGGGGAAGTCTCATACAGGTTATAGGTCTTTCTCTCTTTAGATTTCAGGTGCTTAGTGCTTGCAACTGGACTGCATAATTTACAGAACACGGGCATTTTTTCCTAAACACTGCAGTTTGTTAGAATAGAGCTGAGGTCGGAGGGTTCAATAGTGCTTAACGATGCATGTTTTATGAAAAATAGCTGGTATCTATTAATGTATAGACAGTAAGAATCATAATACTTATTAGCTTTCCTTCAGAATTAGTTTATTTTTGTCAGTAACAATCCTAGATATACTTACTGCTGGTACAGTTGTACTCTATGATATTTGTATTTGATATTCACTTTAGTAGCAGCCAGCAAACGAGGACAGCCTCAGGACAGGCCTCAACCGCCGCGGTGTAGAGATCCCCCACTTGTGGTACAGGATGCTAGAGCTTTGCGCGTGACCGAGCACTTGTTCCTGCCTGCGGCGCCGTCTGCCGAGCAGGAACCGCTTCCTAGAGCTGAGTCTGTGTGATCCACCCTAACGAGCTGCAGGAACTGCTACCGTTACCTATCTTGGCTGGACAACAGATTGTTACAGTTTGTGAAATAGGATCTTTGGATTTTTTTTTTTTTTTTAAGCTTATTCATAAACCTATGCCAAGTTGCAGCATACATTCCTCCAGTAGAAGACTTTATACCAGGTATTACTGCATTTATTATCATTTGCTATATTAATAGCTACTAACTAGAAATTAGGCAGTAGAGGCAGGCGTAAAACCACAGCTGTGCTAGTACTAAGAGCTTCTCTTCTTCTTGTTAAGTGTAACTGCTCTCCCCCATACATTCCATCTTCCCAGTACGGTTGCAACTAGGGCTTTGGTTTTTATACTGGGTGACCTGAAACGATTGGTTCAGTGTAGAAAGTTAGAACTGGTTGGAAGATGAACTACACGTGATGTATTATGGACTATGTTACAGTATTGGGTCCATGGTGGCTTTTATTTTATGTTGTTGTTGTTTTTTTTTTAAAGTTAAGCTATTTAATTTGGAAAAGGTGCAGGGTAGAAAGAGATCGGGAGATTGGCTCTTACTCTTGTTGAGAAGGTGGCTGCTCAATTTTCTTTAAAAAAAAAAATTAAAAAAAAAACAAAACACCACACCTAAGCCCCCAGTTTTTACACATTTCACTACCATCTTACTGGGTAGTCAACGCTTCCTTGCTTTGGCATTCAGTACCCTACTCTCTGTAGGAAGATTGTTAAAAGAACACTTTTTTATATAGGTAACTTTAAGACCATCGTTACGCTGTGCGTAAAGAATGTACAGAGAAATTTGTAGGTATTTTTTGAGGAACAATTAATTTGTTAATGATATGTAGCTATTTAATTTTTCCCTTTCCTTTATTGTAATCATTCTTTTTTTTTTTGTTTGGAGAAAAAAGTTGATCTTTTTTTTTTGTTGTAGATTTGTCTGTAATACAGTAAAAGTGCAGGAACACAGTTATTCTATGAGGACACTGCATTAGCATTAATAGCCACTAGTTTGTTATTGCTACGGGCTACTGAGCATTGTAACAGTAAAATACTAATACTGTAGATGGACTCTGTGGAAAATGTGACTCCTATATTTCTTTGTAAACACAAATGAGATAATGTTTTTAAAGCTAATATTTTCAATAATAGCTGTTTTACAAGGTTCCATTTACTTATCTGAGATAGGTGAATGGATTTGAGGGCAATAAAGATTTAATGTGATATGTCCAGTAAAAGCATATATTAGACACACTAATGTCACGGAAGCCAAAGGGTTGGGGGGAGGCGGAAGGAAACACAAGTGAACTCACCGCCATCGCGAGGGGCGGTGACGTTCCTCCCGGAGCCGGGTCATCTACAGTCCCGTCGGACAGATTCTCTCTGTGTTTGTAAATCTGTAATATACCATTCTCTTGTGGCCTTGTTTCACCTGGAGAAAAAAAAAGGTTTGGCAGGCCATCTTTTTTTTTTTTTTTGTACTTAAAAGTAGCCTTAAAGAACAATAAAGTGCTCTTAAATCACTGGTGTGTCCGTACGCTTCTCTGTGGCCAAAATCCTTTCCCGTAGATGCTTCGTGAGCAGCTGGAAGCAGAAAGAAACCCCTGTTGGTGCCCTGTTTTCAGTAGGAGACCATTCCTTCCTCTGACTGGAGGCTGTTAATCCTTAAAATTAATTTGTAATTTTTAAGTGTTATAATTACCTGATTTTGAGAAAGGCTGGTGAACCAGGCCAGAGCCTGCAGAGGAATTTCAACTCTGAAGGCAGCGGAGGTGTCTCCAAAAATGAAAAAAAAGGAGCCCCCTAAAAAAAATAAGGAGATGGAAAGTTACCCTTGTATGAGACAAAGGCAGGGGCGTGGGACCCGTGTGCATTGTTAAAGCAAAGGGCTATTTTTGGGGTGTGGGAGATTCCACGAGAACACACCACGAGTGATGAGTTTAACACATCCGAAACGCATCCCTCCCCCAGCCCCCGAGGAGAGCGGCCCAAAGACACGCTCCGCGAGCGGGCAGGAGGGAGGGAGGGAGGGAGGGAGGCCAAGGACAACAGCCCTCGCTGCCTCCCGTCTGCGCTCGCGGGGAGCTGGTTTCCTTTCAGGAAAAACTCATCCCTGCACCAACGTTTTGGGGACTGCCTGAACCAGGACAGGCCGCGCCGCTGGCTGGCAGGGCAGTCGCTTGCAGACTGCTCTGTTTTCTACAGGCTAAAGGGAAAAATACAGTAGCTTTGGGGGTTTTTTTCCTTACCATGTGATTTTTTTCTAATTAGCAGCAAGTGGTAATTTAGCAGAAAAGGGAGAGCACCGTGGCCTAGAAAAAGTGGACCATATGCACATGTTTCGTATCATTATTGAGTTCTGTACTATTTGTAATGGTTAACTTTTTTCTGTGACCTAAATGAAAGGCAACTCCCAGCTCTGGGGCTGTAATCTCGCCCCTACAAACACACTATTTGTGCTAATTTAATTCAAACCAGAATTATTTAATCTGAGCAAACAGCCCTGACATCACAAATGCACCTGGGGTAGAGCCGGGCACTGTTTGCACGGTTCGGCGAGTGACCTCTCCTGAGCACACTTTATACGTATTTCAAGCTGCGTTAGTTGTGAAAATTGACTTCACACACAAGCACAGAGACAGACAGCGATGGTGTGACACCAGGGTGGTACAACAGGCCCTGTAATGGTGTATGGGCACAGGCCCTACAGCTCTACCTGCTAAACCTGTACTGAGAGCTGCTGCTCAATGGTCAGCTCCTCCAAAACTACAGCCGAACTCAGCCTTGAGAACTGGCAGAAGCACAAACCCCGAAATTGTAAACGGTTCACCGTCAGCGAGCGGGGCTGTCACCGCTGCAGGAGCAGCAGCCGAGCTGTCGCTGCAGCTGGGTCCAGCGCTCCCAGAGGGGCCCTGGGGGGGCTGCTGGGGGTGGGAATGAGTCCAGCAGCTCCTGGGAGGCCGAATCAGTCAACGGAGAGAAGATGTAAAATTGTCTTTCTGCCCTGTCCCGCACCTTTCCTGCGACAGTAGAGTGCGGAGACCTCGCTGCTTGCGCCGCGCTGAGGACTCACGTTCCCAAAGAGGTGCCCCACAAGGTCTGTGTGAATGAAGCCTTCTCCAGTGTCCAAACACCAGGCCGGGATGTCGTGTTGCTGAACCCGATACCCCGGCGAAACACAGCAGAGGCATTTCCAGCGTTATTTGTGTCAGAGCGCTGGCCCGCGGCGCCTGGCCAAGGGGAACGGCCACCACTATCTTTAGACCCTCCTTGAGGAACAGCATCTTCCTGACCTGCAGGAGCTTCCATTTCGTCTGGCCCGGACACGGAGCCAAGTACGTCACAGGCGGCAGCTGATGGGTGTCTCCAGCTGGATCGCGTCGTGTGTTGAAGCACACTTCATCCCTGAAGAGCCCATGACACAAAATACACCAATTTAATAACTAAATAATTTTTCTAACCTCTTCACTGGGAACATTCTGCCCCTCTCCATGGAGCAGCTCCCTCAAGTGTGTTTCTTGGGTCTAAGACAGCCAAGATAGATCATTTAATTGGTTATTTTTAAACCGCAGTGACATGTAGCTCCATAGCAGCTGCCTTGTTCTCCAGACAAAGCTCTCCTGTTTCCCTTGGTGCTCTCCTGACCCAGCACAGCACCAGCACTCCATGTCTCCAGAGGTGCAGGAGGAGCCTGCGCTGTCTCAGGAGGACGTTCTCCTCCGGTGGAAGAGAGGGTTTTATACGGCTTTGACCCCCAGGAGAGGTCCCGTGAGGTTCATGGAGGTGGTGCTTCTCACCAAGAGTCACATTTAATACACATCTGGGTTTTCTCCCTCCATCAGCAGGGCACGAGCCTTGACAGAGACCAGCCGACCTGGGCTGGTACCAGTTACCTCTGCACGTACAGGAAAACCAGGAATAAACCCCCATCAGTACCCGGCCTTCCTGCTGCTGCTGCTCAACCTTCCCTCTCAAAACCTTCTTGACTGCAGCCAAACTCCTAAGCGTGTTCAAGCGCTGTCCCAGGGGGACACTGCAGAAAAGGGAAGGGGAGAGCAAGTCGTTTCATCCTCCATCTAAAGCCACAGACACCAGTTCTTTCTCCAGTTCTCTCATTTCAGATTTTCTCCGAGACATTTAATAGCTTACAGCAAACTCGGGGTGTCGTTAACACAGCACAGGCTGAAAGAGCTGCAGCAGCAGCCTAAGCCCAGTGTAGAACCAGCCACTGCAAGACCAGGGGTTAAATTGCAAGACAATAAACTAAACTTCATTATTAATGAAAATCAAAGGACAAGGACAATTCTGGTCCTGGTACATTTTACCTGACATAGAAATGGTAGGAGGAGCCTCGCAGCAGCTGGCAATCTTCCATGGAGCTCTGGAGCTTTGAATCCCTAAGTCCTCAGGACTAATCAGGAGAGATGCCTCCTCCGTGCTCCTCCACGTTCCCTGCAGACTCTGCTGGGCTCGGCATCAGGGCCCATTCCTATTTGCAAAAAAGTTTCAGATTTTCCTCCTTAATTCTGTTCGGCAAATCTGACCATCCCATTTGCAAAACCCCACCACTGCACCAAGGCACGTTCCGGAGCAGCACATGAAGCTGGGACCCTCTGCAGGACCCTCTGCCCACGCTCCCGGGGCCGAGGAACCTTCAGGCAAAGCACTTGGCCTCTTTGCTGATGGCCTCCATATTCTTGAACTTCACCCACAGGATATGCCCTCTCCTCAGGAACTTCCACAGCAGTAAATATGGACTTACAAGAGACTTGTCTCTCGCTGGACCATCATGGTGGCACTCCTGAAGTGAGGCAGATGCTCCACCAAGGCTATCGTTGAAGTCTTCACACACGGTTTATGGTGTTTAACATGGACAACACTCACCTCAAAGAGCATCAAGAGCAGTAGCTCTCCAGAAACATCCCCTTCGAATGGGACCCACATACACACCCTGCACAGACACAGTGGGACAGGAGCCAGATGCCAGACTCGACCTGGGAGGAGCTCCTCCTGCTTTGCTCCTTCCTCTGGTGCCAAAAGCAGCCAACAACACTGAACCAAAGGTGGCCTCGGTTCTGGTGTGAGAGCAGCATCCCCAGGAAACATTAAATAGGAAATTCTCATCTTCTCCTTTGTGACACAATCAGGCGCCCAATTCATCAGACAACAATGCGCTAACGCAGGGGTTTTGTAGCTGCTAATTGCTGTATCACTTCAGCATTTATACCCCATTGACATGCCTCTCTGCTGAGAATGGCTGGCATGGGATTAGTCAGACATGGATATGCAGATTGACACGCATTTATATTTTAACAGAGTTGGAAAAACCTGAATTTCTTTTTCTATAGGCTACTTTTAAATAATGACAAAGCAGTTACTGACTTCCAGTAAGACCACACTTCATTACATTCACATCAGACTGTTTCAATCTTTTTTTGCTTGTAGGCAGGGGCCAGTTCCACTGTTCCTTCTAATTTTACATTTTATTTTGCTAAGCAGCAGCTTTCTTAAATGCCAAGGAGAACATCTGTCTTCTCTCCATCACAGAGACAGACACAAAGGCATCTGTCAGCATGAAGCTGTGTCAGCCACACGCCTGCTACATTTAATAGTCAAAACGCTGCTTATCTCAAAACTGTTTACTCAGTTTGGGCCAA